TGCTGTGTGTGTTCCCAGCTATCACACCTTGGACACACACTTCCAGTTCATCCTGCCCCTATAGGCTCAGCCCCCACGAACATATTGTGGGGGCTGCACCCCCACTGTACACTGTGGCACATTTGTTCGGGCCACCAAAACTTTTGGAGCACCATCACATCTATGGTGAGTTCTGGGAATTCTGTCTTGCAATCAAGGAAACTTGGCTGAGTAGGGGGGAAAGGTATAAGCAATAGTCAAAATACAGCAGCATTGTGGGAGAAAGCACAACTGACTTCCTGAAGCTGGCCTCCAGCTGTACATCACTAGGTATCACCCACTACCAGCAATTCTCTTTGACCAGTTCTGGCCCACTCAAATGCTCAAAGTGAGGCAAGGACAAAGAATGTCAGTTGGGCTGGGGGTGAGGTAAGAGCTCATGCTAGGACCAGCAGCCAACTGGAGAGGACAGGTCCTGTCTAAGGGTACTCAGGCTCTTTTTAAATGCCATCTTTTTACTAAATAAAACATGCCTGCAGGCCTGATTTGGTTCAGGCTACCAAATTAGGACTTCTGTGTAAGAATGCTAGTAATATTTATTTATAGCATGTAGGTTATTATTCTAACTACTTTACAGGTCTTACTGCCTTTGTTCTTCCCAAGTATTGAAGGTGATCATTTTGTGCATTTTACAAACTTGCAGAGGTCATGTGTTGGTCAGGAAGGCAGAGCCAGGATTGAACCAGCCAGCCAGTCTCCTCCAGAATCCACACTCTTAAAAGCAGTTTTACACCACTGCACTCTACTGCTGTGTCTAAAATCTTTAAATTTCTTTTCAGCTTATACTAAAGAATGTCATATATTTAATAATCTATTGTGCTACTATTCTTTCTTGCTGTTGAACAAACTTTTGTGGGTTTTCAATTTTTTTATTTATTTTAATTAATTTACTTATTTTTTTTGCATTACCAGGGATTGAACTCAGGACCTTGAGCTTGCCAGGCAAACATTTATTCCACTGCGCTATCTCCCTGGCTCCTGTGGTTGAATAAACCTTTAACTGGCATTACAATGGAAAAATTCAAGCTCTATCTAGCTTTTCATTGTTCTACAGTCTCATTCCTTGTCTACCACTTTTCTCATTTGAAGGGTCCTAATTTTAAGAAATAATTTTGCTGTTATCCAAGAAATGTATGTTCACTAAAGGAAAAAGTAGTGTGCCCACCTTACTTTAACGCATCCATCCCCCTCATCTTTCCCCTCCTTCTGACCCATTTCCAACACCCTTGCCAGAGCTATGTGTGTGTGGTTTCTTGCTCTGTTCTACATGAATGAACAGTAGGACAATGTTTGTTTTTTTTTAATTTTAAGTAACTGTCTACATAATGTGGATCTTTCTGGACAAGCAATTAGGCCAGTGTCTTCAGAGAAATCCAATTTGTATGACCTAAAACAAATGCATGGGCACGTAAGGATTTGCCAAAATGGGCAAAAAATAAACTCTCAAGTCTTTGATCTTAACTCAAAGTGTTTCACTAGGCCAGAGGATGTGGCCACTTTTTATTCACAAGCTTTCCTAGGAATGCTGGACATTACATTCTGTTCTTTTTAAAGCCACATAAATTAAGTCTTAACGCAGGCCAGCCCTTCTGCCTCCTGGCCTTTGTATATTCTGCTCCTTTGGCCAGGACCTTCCCACAAGAACATCCACTCTCCAAGGCCTGGCTCCTACCCAACTTTCTGACACATTTACATGCCACCTCCTCTGGGAACCTCCTATGACCTCCAAGGCTATGAAGTGCCCCTCCTGTGTATACCCAGTAGCCAACTCTTGAGACCTATTTTCACTATTTCTCTTTCACCTAATATGTACTTGGGAACTTGGTAGTAATTACTTTTTAACCTAATCTACATCTGAAATTTATGCAGTAATACTTATTTCTGAAAAATGGCACGTGCTTGAGTTTTATACTTTGCAGGTTTCTTTAACAAGTCTCAAGAATGGTAAAAACAATGGGCTACAGGCTTTGACATTAAAGTGATGTGGGTTTGGCACCCTGCTCCAGTACTAATGGCTGTGTGACCCTGAATTCAGTTATCTCTGAGACAGTTTCATCAGGTGGAAGATAAAGACTTACTTCACTGTGAGGATAAAAACACAGAAGTGCAAAGTATACCACCTGCCCAAGCTCACGTTCAGCAGGGGTTTTCTACTATTACATTTCTCAGCAATTATTTAATTTCACCAAAAGAAAAGTTAAACACGAAGAGAGTAAGAATACTGCCAATGTAAACACTATCCATGCTAGGTACAGTGGCACATGCTACTTTAGAGGCTGAGGCAGAAGGATAGCAACTTTGATGCCAACCTGGGCAACTCAGTGAAACCCTGTTTCAAAATTAAAATTTACAAGGGCTAGGTCTATGATAAATATTATATAGCACAGGCATATACTGCTAAAATAATTGCATGGGGTGGGATGGCTGGGGATTGTAACTCACGGACAGTGTGCTTGGCTGCCATGCACTGAAAAGCAAACCAATGCTCCATATTATTTCTTAATGATAAGCAACTTTACCTACATATAGATTGAACTGTATTTTGTACTTAGTATGTGTTACTGGTTGCTTCCTATTCATTATTCAGATATATCTAGTTTTAAATTTTATCTGATAAAAACCTAGAGGTGTGAGAAAAATAAAAAAGCCAGTTGGCATCATCTTAGGGAGTATTGTGTATCAGGAAATTAATAGTATAGTAAATACTGACTAAGACTACCTTTTTTTCTCTAGGAGATTGATAAATTTAGTTCATACAAATCTCTAAGCCATCAAACCTAAAATGGCTTAGAAAGTATTTGGAAATTACTTACTTAAGTTGACACCTGAGCCAGTAAAGAATCCAGTAATCCAGCTGAGTGTTTAAGCCTTTCTGTTATAAGACCCTGCGACAGAAACCAAGATGTTTAGCAACTGATTGCTGCCCAATTTAACCTGGGAAAACTGGCAGACAACACTGACAAGGACTCTAGTAAACTCTTCAACCCTGGGTCACTTAATACTCCTAAAAGGAAACTATCCCATTTCCTTGCACCTGCCTTTGAAGACAAGCTAAATGGCTCTCTAGAGCCACAGACTGAGGATATGTTTTCAGCATCAATTCAAAGTACACTGATATGCAAAACTCACTGTACATTTGTTCAATTAAACACTATTTTTAATTTTTTTTATTTTTTATTTTTTTTGCGGAACTGGGGATTGAACTTAGGCCCTTGCGCTTGCCAGGGAAGTGCTTATTCCACTGAGCCATCTCCCCAGACCCTCATTTACTAATTTTTAATTGCTCTACAATGGAAGCCTCTCCTGGGTACTGCAGGATGACAAGATGAATGAAATAGTGAAAAGCTCTCAGTTTGAATCTGCAAAATGGTAATAGTTTAAGCAATTAAGAATTCACAGCTTAAGTTGGCATTAACTCATATCTGGAACCAGACTTCAGAGAAATGAGACAAACGTTAGGGCAGGAGACAAGGCCACTAAAAATGCAGAAAAAAAGGAAATGGTATAATCTTGGCCTTAAAGAGAGGATCATACAGATTCAAAATTTATCAATTACTAGCAATGTAAACAATTAGAATTTTTCCCAGCTGGCATCCATTTTATAATTTAAATTTTCAATTATCTTATAATTTATTTATTTATCGTATTTTAGGGAAGGATCTACAGGGGTGTTCAGAGTCTCATGACTAGATGTGACTCGTAGTGATCCACCTGTTTATAGACTCCCAAGAGCTGGGATTACAGGTGTGCACCACCACGCCCAGTCTTAATCACCATCTCAGCACACCATGGAGGCAGGGGCGGGGCTGGGGCCAGCACAGCAGGCCCAAGGATCAAAAGCCTGGCCCCTGCGCCTATTTGCAGGCACTTTAATCTGCGGAGCTATTTTACCCTATAATTTAAATTTTGTATTTAAAATTTCAGTGCCAGCAAGATAGCTCATGCTTGCCTAAGCGCCAATTTAGGCAAGCACAGGGACTGAGGTTTGATCCCTGGCACCAAGTGCCACGGCAGCCCCACTCCCCAGACGTACTGAGCTGGCCACTGAGTGTGAGCATAGTGGCGCACACCTGTAATCCCAGAGCTGGGGAGACTGAAAACAGGAGGATCACAAGTCCAACCTGCATAGTGAGACCCTGTACCAAATACATAAAAAATAAAATAAAATTTTAATTAATCTATTTAAAGGGTTTTTAAAAAGATGATCAAGTGAGTAATCCACACACATATCATAGACAGATGAACAGACACATAGAGAACAGTGCTCATCAGATCAATGTATCCTACTTTAAAAATGTATACCCACTTAAATGGATGTTTGATACAGTACTGTTAATAAACGCTACAACACAAATGCACATTTTGTCAGTGCAGTCTTCTTCTTAATCATGAAAATGCTGCACAACAGACTGAGGGAGTGGGGTTAACAAGAAAGTAAGAGCTGCTAGACTAGCCAGACTTAAAATCGAATTAGGGCTCCAGCTCTCACTCGCAGCTGCCTTACCTTGCTTTATCATCATGGATACATTTCACACAAGATAGTAAAGATTAAATGCTAGGGATATAAAGCCATCAACAGTGTCTGATACTTCTCAAAGGCTTACTTTCAGTCCTCATGATTCCTAAATAAACGTGTTCTCCAGCTATCTTCAACGTGTGGGTTCTGGCTGTAAATCCAAGGGCCAGCTTTTCCTTTTCCTTCTCAAGGGTAAGTGAGGGACAGAGGACGTCACTTTCTCTTCCTCCCAGGGGCTCTAAATTCCCAGAGATGGCACAAAAGCACTGCCTGGGCTTGTGGTGTCCAATGGCAGAATACCAGGAAGCCTCTTGGCCCATGGCACATTGACACCACTTCTGCAAGCTGCACAACGTTCACCCAAGAAACCCTTTTCTCCTTCAGGAAACAGATACAGTACCTGCTGTTTCTAAACAAACCCTTACTAGTATACTTTTGCAGAAACATAAATTCAAAGTAAATTAGTACCAGTATCAGGAAGTTATTTTAATATCTTTTTCGCCATGATTGAATATATAAAGATAAGGGAAGTAATGTATTCTTCTGCTGTAAAGATGGGTGGAATATATCAAAATCCACTCGTTGAATTTTCTTTAAATAATCCTCTAGGGAAACCTAAAAAAAGGAGAATAGTAGTTGCTAGATCATAAAAATTATCAAGTCTTTCCAACAAACAAAAAAAAAAAACTACCAGCATTAAGTCTATTCTACTTTCCTGAGATGATTTTACACAATAAGAATTTAAATGAGATTTGAAAAGGGATAGAGAAAATAAACCTCCCCACAAGTTTCTATTGGACCAAAAAGTGTATCACAAAGCTACTGCTGAAAATACCAAGCCTCTCCTAACAGCATACAAGAGATTTGGCCAAGACACAACATCTTATAACTGAGTCTGTGGAGTAAAAGCAAGATTTTTCATCTGGGGTGTTCTCAGTGGTGGAGCACAGACTGGCACATGTGAGGACCCTGGATTTAATCCCTAGCATGAAAAAAAAAAAGTTTTAATCACGGGAAAGAAAACATTCTTCTCACCACAAATGCAGTGCTCCATAATGGAGTTCAAGTCGCCTTTTAAAAAATTGTTTTGTGAAATGTTTAATGGGTCTGTGAGTTCTTTCTAGAAAACACGATTTCTAACCAGGGAGAATAATCACAGGTCTCTATAAATGTCACCCTATAAATGCGACAAAGTTTTTACATGGTAGAGGCAAGATAGAAAACACCACAAGTACTCTATTTTTTTGTTTTCTGTAATATTTTTATTAATTTATAATTTCTTTTATTTTAATAGCTTTTTTTAATTAAACAAGGAAGTCACTTAGTTTTGCCCCCCTGCAATTCTGCGGCACCACTCCCTTCTCAAACATGTTCACAGCGCCCCCTAGAGTTCTGCAGCAAAGAACCGGGGAGTTCTGCCACAGCAGATTCAATATACAGAAAAACAGAAAAGTAGTATACTTTATTAGACTTTTCATACATTTATAGGCAGATGAGCACACAAAAAGACAAGTGTAGTACCTGTTTTCCAATTGTATCTGTATGTACAACAGGAATTAAAATATGTACGTGAAAACATACAGCTACTTTACTTAATATTAGCAAAAGTCTTGGACATAACCCAGAACTTTTTCAATAACAAAATATTATTCATAAGATACAATATCCTGGGCAGGGGAGATGGCTCAGTAGAATAAGCACTTCCCTGGCAAGCACAAGGGCCTGAGTTCAATCCCTGGTTCCACCAAAAAAAAGATACAATATACTGTTGGGAAATGAAAGTACTACAGCTAGGCACGATACAGAAAAATCCTAGAAACATTAGGATTATGTATGTCCTAGAAGATAAATAGAAAATTATTATAATTTCTCTATATACTTTGGAACAGTGGTTTCCTAAACTGTCTACACATCAGAATTTCATGAGAACCTTTTTTCTGGAAAATCTTAAAATCACATATTCTCCTAGGAATGGCTTTTTCCTCAAATCCAAGAATCATATTTAGTAAGAAGGCATGAGGAATCTTTTTTAAAAGATTTATAGGTTATTCCAATGCAGCCAGCTCAGCGTAGTTCTGCAATCCACTTTCTAGAGCCAGTGCTACAATATGGTGACATAATTACAGAGGAAAAACTAAGAGGACAGGAAGAAATGTTTTCTGGCACTAACTAGCCTACAATCCTGTGAGGTACTCTCTCCTTTTATTCCCATTTTATCTGGGTAAACTGAGGGTCCTGTGGCAAGAGAAGGCAAAGCAGACAACCCACTACAGTCTGGCCTTAGAGTGAGTAAAATGACAACTCCACTCACCAAACTCTGGGAAACACATCTGACTGAGACCAAAAGTATCATGTAACTAATAAAGTTCACCATAAGGGAGAGAAACAAAAACAAAAACTCCAAATGAAAGAACTGCACTGGGGACTTCAGAAAATAAAAAAGACATTATACCCATCTGCTTCACTAATTATTTTAGTCTTCTCTGCTAAAGTACTTACCGTCTGAAGAAAGGCAGGAAATGCTTTCACAGGAACACTTTTGTGGAAGGACCTCGCCTAAAAAGGAAAAGAAAAGGAAACTGGTTTGAAACATTTCTGCAAATAAACAATGTCCCTCTGAAAGTGAACATAAAGCAACAACAGAAGCTGAACAATGTGACTCCAGCCACTCTGCAAAGCAAGAAAATAGCTCATCTCCTGTATTAGTTTCCAAAGAAAAAAGGACTAAGGGAAAAGTAACTGATGTACAGTATTAAGAATTCTCTTCTTTCTTAAAGACTGGCTTTGACAATTTCCAACAACTTTACATCTCATAATAACCTTGAAAGTCTAACTCTGTCACAAGGGGTAAATGAGGAGATAGTTGCATTAACAAATCCCAGCACTGTCCTAGCTTAGACTGGCGTGACCTGCTGTTCAGCTATCAGGTCTCCTTTGGTGATCGTCCTGCCTGTGTGCTATACCTTTGACTCATTTCACAAGACAGGAAGAGTAACGTCCTTACGTTATTACTTCAGTTTTACTTTCTTAGATGTAACTCCCTGGGAGATCACGTCGCCAATTATTCATCCTGGGATTCAGAGGCCCTCCTCTAATTTCCTCTATCCCACCCAACTCCCTGCTACGCCAGGCTATGAATCCCTGGTGCACTGAAGCTGATGCACACCATCCTGCATCTGCCAGGCCCATTCTTGGCCAGTCTTTGTATCATCCCTTACATGAGAAGAGAATGCACCGCCTCTACCTCCTGACTCTGCACTCTCATTTCACCCCCAGACTACTAAAACTGCTTTAGATCACTGATGATGTACTACTTATTAGTCTTTTTTTTTTCTCCTTAATCTCTCTGCAGCATTTAAAACGTTGCTATTCCCTCTGTCCCTTGGTTTTTAAGATACTAACTCTTAGTGTCCTTTTCCTTCTCTGTAAGAAATAACCCTTTCTCCCTGTACTGATACATGGATGACCCACAAGGCCCTGTCCCTGGTCCTCTGGCCTAGATGCATGTTCTCTGTGAGCAACCTCAAGGAGGTTTTCCATCTACTTTTAGCTCTGTGTGTGTGCGCGCGCACGTGTGTGACCCCCAAATCTACTCTCTCCAGGCCTAACTTCTGTCAAAGGCATAATTTTTATTGCTCATTAGCCTTTCTTGCTAAATGACCTCTGATATCCTCAGATTCAAGTACAGAATGTCTAGCAGCCAGTCCAAAGATCAGCATCAAGCACACCACTGCTTTTATACTGCACCTTGGAGGGGCACCATCATCATCTGAATTCTCTGTGCAGTCTTTGTCTTCCCACCTTCCTGAGTTGTCAATCCAATCATTTACCAAGTCTCACTGATTCTGCTTCAGTTGTGTATATCAGCACATAAATACCTATTTTCTTTAAGTCACGTTTCCCCTGGAAGTCACCTCCCAACCCTCAAACCTTGTTTCCATAGTGCTGGCAGGTGACAACACTAATATCACCTGCATACATGGAGTCCCAGCACTCAAGAGGCAGAAGTAGGAAGACTACTGAGTTCAAGGCCAGCCTGAGTGAGTTTAAGACAGAGGGAAAAAACCTGTCTTAAAAGCACTACTTTAGGAACAAGAAGCTTATTTACCAGCAACTACTGTATTGCAGCAGGCAGAAGAGAGCCACATTAAAACAAGATGAGCAGTACCAGGATGGGGAGGGCTTTGAGGCGATGATGAGTGCAGACCACTCATTCAACCAGTTTAACTTGGAGAGAAAAGAAGAAACATAAAGGCCCACAGGCTGCCTGTGAACGCAGAAGGTAGGAGAAAGCCAGAACAAATCAGGGAGCTCCCAAAGAGGCAGCAGAAAGCAGCAGCCCACAGCGAGATGGCTCAGTGGACTAAGCACCTGCTTAGGCAAGCAGAGACCAGGGTTAGATCCCCAGTACCACATGCTGCTCCTGCCCTACCCCTGGCACTGAGTTGGCAACAAAGTCAGGATGTGGTGGTACAAGCCTGTAATCCTAGCACTGAGGAGACTGAAAACAGGAAGAGCACTATGAATTTAAGCTGTGTAATGAGACCCTGTACCAAACATTTTAAAAAAAAGAAAAAGAAAGAAAGCAGCAGCCCATACCCAAAGTCCTGAAGAGGAGGAGATGAAAGCTGCCCTGGCAAGGCCAACAGACCATGGGACACAGCCTGCGCACAGAGCAGAGGAGCTCCGCTGAGAAAGCCAAGGCGCAGCGACCAGCTGTGGTGCATGCACCTGCTCAGGGAGCAAATGGGAGAGTTTTTACTTTTTTTTTTTTTTCCGGTGGAAACAGGGATTGAATTCAGGCCCTTGTGCTTGCCAGGGAAGCACTTATTCTACTGAGCCATCTCCCTGGCCCCTGGGAGAGTTTTTAAAGTGGGAGAAGTTTACAATAGTTCCCGAGATAAATGGGAAATCCAAAAGGAGTAGACACTACCAAGGTAATACCAAATGGCCACATCTAGAACAGTAATTTCTAATTGGCTGGGCTAAAAGCAGCTACTTACATGTTCTAAGTGCAAGTGTGCCTGGCTGGCAATATCATATATCACATCTCTCACATTTTTATCTTGATTTCTTCTTAAAAAGTCCTCTTGTGAAACACCATGCTAGGTGAGAAAATACACACTATGTTAAGACCCTATAAGCACACCTAAAATTAATGCAGCTCTAGAAAATGGGCACTATACAGACAGAATAGTATGAACATACAATGCCTGTTTTTTAATCTGCATGAGTGCACAGGTGTATACAGAGAGACACATATACACCCCAGGAAGATGCAACAAGATGTAAACTAATAACAGGTATAGATAAAACAAAAATACAAAAAATAAGAAAACAAACACAAAAAAATTTAAAAGAATTTCATATGGAAAATGAAAGTTCTAAAAAAGATTTTAAGCCAGGTGTGTGGCACATGACTATAATCTCAGGACTCTTGGAGTTCAAGAGAATTCAAGCCCTGCCTGGAGTAAATTCAGCAACTTAACTCAAAACAGGGGAGGCGTATGTTGCTCAATGTGAAGGCCTTAGTTCAACCCCCAGGGGATTGCTGTCTCTAATAAAACCAAAACAAGCTAAAGTGAACACTAGGAATAATTTCTGAGATTGCTTGGAAGAGACTAAGACATCAAAGTAAAGCTGCGTCAGATGAGGGTTCCTGGACATTCTTACTCATAGCTCCTCCAGGGACTTATAAAAAAAACTCTACCACAGAGCACATCCCCGGCTCTTTTTAATTTTTATCTTGGAATAGTCTTGCTAAATTGTCTAGGATGTCCTCAAACCTGTGATCCTCCTGCCTCAGCCTTCTGATAGCTGGAATTAGAGGGAGGTACCATTATATCAGGTCCTGACAGATAAAATTCTAACTGGATCACTATTATAAAAGGAAGAACATTTGCAGGAAGCAGTAAACATTCCTGTCAAAGCACTTACTGGAAGAGACTAAGCAAAGAACCAAGAAATAACTTCCCATATTCCTGGGATGAATTGTGAGAAGTTACAAACTTCAGCCTTACCAGCATACAAATGTCCATGGGAAGGAACACTTTTCTTCTGCCACCATGGTAGGGCGTTGCTCTCAAGCAAGTGACGATGCCTTGTGCTTTTCCTATGTGACTTGCAGCATGATCTGCATGGAGATCCTTTATACCTATGGTTCAGAAGTTAAAAAGGCTACTCTGTTCTCTTTCAGCACATAAGTCAATAGAGCATAGAAAAATCACCTAATGAAATAAAAATATGTACCCTATGTTTTATTTCTGAAAAACAAGATTTGTGTAGGAAAAACTAGGCTCCAGGTAAAGGTGATCATTTTCCTACCAGCAAGTATTAGAATTTTAATCAGCAATCACGGAAAATAATTACAAGTCTTCTATTTCTTCTCCATGGTGCAATCCCCACATCAGCTAACTTCAAACACAAATATTCTGCTCTCTGCTCCTTTCTTATGATGGTAAACTAAGGTCAGACATGGCCCCTGAGGTGCAGAGAGGACAGCTCAGGAAATTCGGCGAGGACTTGTATTTCAGAAATAACTCCTCCCAATGCAATGGTACTGTCCTTATCCAAAATGTTCTCCTCAACCTGTACTGTAACATCCTATAACTCAGTGGTGTCCCAAATTTTCTGATCAAGAAGATTATGGGGCCACCGAGGAAAGTGATCAACGATGTACAGTGTGCCTAAGGAGAGTCACATGGAGAGAAAACATTCTCTCAGGCTTTCACAGAAAGCAAATTGGTTAAGCAATGGCCATGACTCAACCACATGGCTGACACTGACAAAGGATCTACAAATTGCGGTACAAGGTCTCAGGATAAGTCCTGAGGGGATTTCACTGACCTTATCAGATCCAAACATTCTCTCAGGCTTTCACAGAGAGCAAATTGGTCAAGCAATGGCCATGATTCACCTATAAGGCTGACACTGACAAAAGATCTACAAACTGAGGTACAGGGTTTCAGGGTAAATTCTGAGGGGATTTGACTGACCTTGTCAGATACAAAAGTTACATTTTTTGTTACGTAGGGCTTGCTTTATCTTGGTCTTAACCATCCAGCAAAAAAGTATAAAAACGAGGTATAAAAAGTAAAGCCATACTAATATGCTGAGCTGTAAAAGGCTCAAGTCAACAACTTCTGACACTGCCAGTCTTGTGGATAACCCACTACTATTATAGACTACTGGACTATATTGGATTACTCTGGGTAACATAAAAATAGCTCCTACAATATATGAATGGCAATGGAATACAAATCTCTGACAAAAGTAAACAAAAAGGGGATATAAATGGACTGTTTTGTAGTGGAAAAAATATATCTATATACAATAGCATAAATATACAGCTACTTTCTCTTAGTTCAATGAGAAAAAGGTTTTGAACTAATAGTGTTTAGACAAGATATCATGTCTGCATCTTGTACTAGGAATAACTACTACAAAGACAACAATATGCAATGTATCGATTATTGTAACTGTACTACTAACCTGTTTTGAAAATATTTCATTGCTACTTTTTTCAATAAAATTATTAAAATAAAAAATGTTCTCATTAAAACAAGATGTCATTAATTTGGAATAAAGTCAGAGAAGAAAAAGGACCATCAAATTTTTTTCCAGTACTGCAGACTAAACCCATGGAAGGCCTACCACTGAGCTATAACCTTTTATTCTTTTTATGAAGATGGGATCTTGCTCAGCTGCCCAGGCAAGACTTGAACTTGTGATCCTGCTGCCTCGGCCTCTTGAGTGGCTGGAATTAAAGCTTCGAGCCACTGCTCCCAGTTAAAATGTTTTTAAAAGAGGAGGAGAGAGAAAAATCTCACAGAAACTTTTATAAATGCAGTTTTATTTTTATACCTTTTTTTCTTTTACATGAAGAAATGTCATTGATAGAACAGAAGTTAGGGCATGAGCCTTTCAAATTATAAGAGATGCTACAGTAAAAAAAGAAAAAGGAAAGCTATCCTATTATTTACTAGAGTTTTTCCATGAAATATCCAGAGTACTTCTGTGACAACTCAAGCACTGTATTTGGAATGTCTGCACTGCACTCCCAAGATAGATATACACAGAGAGATATAGAAAACAGAGATAGAGATATAAAGAGACTCTCCTCTGACTTCTTTTTAAGTGTCCTTTTAAGTACAGTACAAAAGCAAATTCCAGTGCTAACCTATTCAAATTCAAACTTAAGAGGAAAATCTAAAAGGTATTTTCATTTGAAAAAAGAACTATGAAATAGAAAAACAACTTACCCAATATTTCCAGTGTTAAATACAAGAGAGAGCTCTGTGTGTTTTCGGCATAATTTTCAAGTTCCTGGATATTACGATATGCTTTGTCATCCAAATTTTTTTCCTACAGTAAAAGAAAACACAAATAAAGTTTGCTGAATATCAATATTTTATAAGGAAAAAATACTATTTTTTCCCTGAAAATCTTTTTTTTTTTTTGCTGTAACAGGGATTGAATTCAGGACCCTGTGCTCCTGAAGACTACATACGAATACAAAAATCAGCCAAGAATGGTGGTACATAGCTGTAGCCTTGGCATTCAGGAGGCTGAAGCAGGAAGATTGGGAGTTTGAGGCCAGCCTTGGCTCCACAGAGAGCTCAAGGCCAGCCTGTACTATCTGAGACCCTGCCTGCAGGTTCCCCTCAAAAAAAAATAAATAAAATGTTTAAAAACATCACTTATAGGGGCCAGGGAGATGGCTCAGTGGAATAAGCGCTTCCCTGGCAAGCTCAGGGCCTGAGTTCAATCCCAGGTTCTGGGAAAAAAAAAACAAAAAAAACAACACTTATATTTTCTGCAGTATAAAATAAGATTAAAATAACTTTAAATCCAGGAGTGGTGGCATATACCTATAATGCCAGCACACTGAGAGGCTGAAGCAGGAAGTTGCAAACCCAGCTTAGACAACTTAGTGAGACCTAGCTCAAAATAAAAAATAAAAAGGGGTGAGGATGCAGCTATATAGTCTCATGTGAAGATCCTGGGTTCAATCCTTTGCACTGCAAAATAAGTAAAAAATAAATAAAATAAAAAGACTACACAACTGAAGCCAGGCCACAGACCAATTAACAGGTTTGTCTGGACCCAGAACTCAGCTCTAAGAATACAGCAGTAGAACATTCCATTCTCTAGAACTGTTAGAATGTCTTCATTCCCTCTATATAACTGAAGTTATATGAATCCCCTCTCCAGTATTTGATAGTACTAAGGAATCGTAAGCAACTTTTTAAGGTACGATAACCATATTGTGGCTAGGTTTCTGAGGTCTTTATCTTCCTAAGACACATGCATTTGCAGCTCAAATGATAATCTAGGTTTTACTTAAAGAAAATTTAATAGGAATTAGTGAGGAGCTAGAATATACATGAAACAAGACTAAACGTATTTTGATAACTATTAAAGTTGGGTGATAAGATACATGAAAGTGTATTATTCTCTCAACTTTTGTACAAATATAAAACTTTCCATTAAACAAACAAACAAACAAAAAAAAAACCTAAACTAAATTGGCCATGGTGGTGCACTCCTATAATCCCAGCACTCAAGAGGATGAGGCAGGAGGATCACTGTGAGTTCAAGGCCAATCTGAACTATATTACAAGACTCTGCCTCAAAAATCTGGCATTGTGGCATATTCCTACAATTCCAGTTCTCTGGAACACTTCAGCAGGAGGATCATAAATTCAAGCCCAACCTGGATAATTTATTAAGACTCTATCTTGAAATTTAAAAAAATAAATTTTTGAAAGGGGACTAATTTTTTTAGTTTTTATCTATTCTAGATATTAATCCTCTGAGAAATAGTAGGCAAAAAATATTTTCCCATTGTGTAGGTTTCTCTTTACTCAGTTATTTCTTTTGCTGTATAGGTTTTTAATTTGACATAATCCCATTTGTTGATTGTTGCCTATGCCAATGCCTTCAAGAATTTTACATACTGACTCTTCCAGTAGATTGCTTATTTATTTTGGGGGTTTTTGAGACAAGTTTATACTATGTAGCCCAGGCAGGCCTGGAGCCCACGGTGATCCTGCTTTAGCCTCCTCAGTACTGGGATTATAGGCAAAATGCCACCACATCCATCCAGGCTCTGTTTTAATATTTACAGTTTTTAAAAATCTATTTTGGTTATGTTTTTGTATATGGTGAAAAATATGGGTCTAGCATCTATCTTTTGCATGTGTGTAGCCAGTTTCCCCAGCAACATCTATTAAAGAGTGTATGTTTCCTCTAGCATATGGTTTTGGCTCTTTCGTCCTTTGACCAATGATCAAGTGTACCTGGGACAGTTTCTGCATCCTCTGCTCTGTTCACTGATTCACATGCCTGTTCTCCTGCCAGTACTGTACTGTTTTTGTCACGAAGTTTTGTAATACAACTTGAAATCTGGGACTGTGATGCCTCCTGCTCTGAACTTGTTACCCAGGATTCTTTCTGCCATATAAAGTTTATGGTCCCATATAAATTTTATGACTGTTATTTTGAGTTCTGTGAGGAACTGCTGCTGATATTTTTTTTCATTTGGATTGCATTAATCTATTTATCAGTTTGGTAGTACAGCCATTTTAACAACACTGGCCCTCCCTAGCCAGGAATAGGGGGTATGTCCACTTTCTGCTGTCTTCTTCCATCTCCTTCTTCAGAGTACCATGCTGTACTTTTTGTCACAGAGGTTTTTTCCTTCCCTTCTTTGGTTAGGTTAATTCTTAAGTTTCGTAGTTTGGGGTTTTGCAAGAGGAACAATACAAGACCCATTTTATAAGTTTTTTTTTTTTTTTTTTTTTTTGGTAGAACTGGGACTGAACTCAGGCCCTTGTGCTTGCCAAGGAACTGCTTATTCTACTGAGCCATCTCCCCAGTAGATTATTTTATAATTTATCACCCAAAGACTCGTATACAATGAGTGCAGGAAATGGGTGCAAGAAATCTGCCCACACAGTAAAGACCAAAGAATTCCTCTGAGGGTCTGGATCCCATGACAATATCCTACATGAGTCCAGCTGAAGACCAAGAGCCCATAACAGTACCTCCCACAAGTCCAACTGGAGGCTTAAAGCCCATGACAATGTCTCATGCAAGCCTGTTTCACAGATCTGTGCTAGGAAAGCCCAAAAGTCAGATGTCTTAGTTGTTCTTCTCTCATTGCTGGGACAAATACCTGACACTCATGCTTAGGGAAGGAAAGGTTTGTTTAACTCAGTTACTGGAGGTATCATAGATTAAAGCAGCCTGAATTACATAGCAAGACCTCAAGACACTGCTGTCCTGCATTATAGGGTTTGGAAGAAAGGCTGGAGCACCGCTGTGTCCAGGATGATCTGTTCTATACCTCTCAGAAAGCACAGGCTAGCCAGTTTAATGGTTCATGCCTCTCTGGCCCCGCCCCTCAGACCCCACCCTGGTCCTTTAGCCCTGCCCCTTGAGTCACTCATTGCTCCTCCACTGCATCTGCCCCATAATTTACATGAGGCTTTGGGGGGACAACTAGACACAAACTATAACATCTGTGTTGGAAGCTAGAAAGTCTGTGACAGGAAGATGAAGGATCTGTGCTAGCAGACTGAGGGATCTGCATCAAAGCCAGGAAGCAATGCTCAAGGTAAACCAGAGCTTCCCTGAAAAGTACCACAGCCATCCTCAGCAACAGTGAGGTCCAGAGCTCCTCCAACAACAAGGAAAGCTAAGCTCCCATCTGAAAAGCCAATGTGACAAGCTTCTGCAGGAGACTGAGCTGTGCACTGCATTCCCCTCCAGAGGCAGGAAGTGATGCTCAAGATAAGGACTACAGCTCCCCCAAGGTGAACCGTAGCCATCCTGAGACAATGAAGTCCCAAGCTCCTCCTCCAATGAGAACAGCGAAGTTCACTAGGAAAGCCAGCATGATAAGGACCCCAGCAGAATAGCCCAAGAGAAACAGCAGCTTCCAACAGCTTCTCCAAACAGCCTCCGTACCAGCCTCTCCAATTCTGCCTCTTATGCTGCTGGCAATAACACACCCAGTAGCACACAGGGTGTAACATTAACCACTAGTTGGCAATCCACCACACTGAATATGTAGTTTTTCTTGAAGTTATCATGAATGGTATTGTCCCAATTTCTTTCTCAGTGAATTCATTATTGGTGTACAGGAACACTATTGACTTTTATGTGTTGAATGTATATCCTGCGACCTTGCTGGATTTATTAGCTCTAGGTGTCTGCTGATAAGAACTTTGGGGGATTTTTATGTAAATAAGCATACTGTCTGCAAAAGGTAGTGTGATCTCTTTCTTTCCTATACATATACCTTCTATCTCTTTTTTGTCTTATTGGGGGGGCTAATGCTTCAAGCACTAATTGAATAGGACTAGTTGATACTGGACATTCTGTCTTGTTTCTTATTTTAGAGGAAAAGCTTTCAGGTTTCCCCACTTTATGATGCTGACAATAAGTTTGTCATAAATGGTTTTTAACAGATTGAGATAAGGTCCTTCTTTATCTGTTTTCTTCAGGGTTTTATCATGAACAGATATTGACTTTGTCAAATGCTGTGTCTGTTGAGATGATCATATAATATTTGTCCTGACTTCTGTTTATGATGCATTACATTTATTGATTTGTGTATTTTGAAATATCCTTGCAATACTAAGATGAAGCCTATTTGGTCTTGTATTATCTTTTTAATGATTGTTGCATTGTTTGCCAGTATCTTCAAGATCTCTGCATCTATGTTCATTAAAGAGACAAGCCAATCGATTTTTTTAGTTGAGTCCTTGTCTGATTTTTGGAGTCAAGGTAATACGACCACCATCTTCCAGGAATGAGCCTGGCAATGCTCCTTCCCTTCCAATTTCAGTAAAGTTTGAGGAGTATTGACATTCTACTGAACTTCTTGTAGAATTCAGTGATAAATTCATCAGGTTCTGAGTTTTCTTAGTTGGCAGGATTTTTTGTTTTTGTTTTATTACTGCCTTAAGTTCATTGCCTGTTTTTGGATTATTCAGTTTTTTATATTTTATTTCAGTTTTAATAATCCTTATATTATCTAAGGATTGATCAGTTTCTTCTAGATTCTCCCATTTTCTACGTATTTTCAAAATAGTTACTAATGATCTTCTGCACTGCAGTGACATTGTAATTTTTTTCTTTTTATGAATAACTTTATTTTAGCATTTACAACTGAAACTCTGGGAATTCAAAATTAACGTCCTTGCCTGTGAGCTTCTTACAGACACCAGAGAATGTCTCAACCTTGTGCTCTATGTTGTTCTGCTGGGCCTTGTCCAGGTGACCTTGGTGAGCCGGCTGCCGTCCAGCTTCCCACGGATCCTCTTGCCCACGATCTCACTGGGGAAGACCAGGTCCTCCAGGATGGCATCGTGCACTGTGGTCAGCGTGCAGCTTCGGGGACTCTTTTGCTTATTTTTCATGTGGCTTTTTCCAGTTGGCTTGGGCAGAATTCTCTGTGCGATGAAGACCACATGCTTCCCACTGAATTCCTTCTCCAGTTCTCATACTAGCCAGATCTGGACTTTCTGGAAAGACTTCAGTTGGGGAACTGGGATGAAAATGATGATTGTTTTCCGACCACTACCAACTTTGACTTCCTCAGCTGCCATGATGTTGAGCTCATGCGGCTGCACCTTGAGGTCTGAGTTCACCTCCAACTCTGGCAAGGCCTGCAAGATGCCAGACTCAAACTCATCCAGCTTCTCACCATTGGGCTTCACGATTTTGGCACGCGAGCTAAACATGGCAAGAGCCTTACAGAGCGCCGGCTTAGGAAGATCTTTTTTTTTTTTTCTGAGATAGGGTTTCACTATGTAGTTCAGGATGGCCTCAAAATGCCAGTAATCCTTCTGCCTAAAGTGCTGGGATTGCAGGGGTCTACCACCATGCCCAGTGTCTTTTTCATTTCTAATTGCACTAATTTTAGTTTAGTTGTTTTTTTTTTTTTTTTTTTTTTTTTTTGGTAAGACTTGCTATAGTCTTGTCTATTTTATTTTTTTTAAAGAATCAGCTCTTCATTGATTATATTTTTAGTCTCAATTTCATTAACTTGTGTATTGATCTTTATGATTTCTTTCCTTGGACCAGTTTGGATTTGGAGATTTCTTGTTTTTCTAGGACTTTAATGTTTATCACTGGGTTATTAACTTGGGCTCACTTTGTTTTTCTGATTCAACAGTTATAAACTTCTCTCTTAAGACTACTTTCACTGAATCCTACAGGTTCTGGTATGTTTTCTGGCATGATCCTTTAATTCTAGGTACTGCTTATTTTTTTTTTTTATAACCTACTGATTATTCAAGAGAATACTGCTTAATCTCCATGTGTTTACATACTTCCTATGGTTTCTTTTACCACTAATTTTTAGTTTCCTAGCACTACAATCTGATAATATACATGCATAGATTAATTTTAATTCTTTTCTATTTAAGCAACCTTTATGGGCCAGAATGTGGTCTATTTTAGGGAAAGTTCTGGGTACCCTTGAGAAGAATGTGTATTCTGTTGTTGGGTAGGATGCCCTGTAACCATCTATCAAATCCATTTGCTCAAAGGTATAGTTCAACTCTGATATTTCTTTCTTGACTTTTTTTCTGATTTAGTTACTATGTCTATTTGTGGTAGTGGGATATCGCATGCATTTGTTTTATAAACTTGGGTACACCAGTGTTCAGTGCACACATTTATATTTGTTATTTGAATGTTTGAATATTTCCCGTTGAATGTTTCTTTAATTAGTTGTAGTGACCTTCTTTGCCTCTTCTGATGAGAGTCCACTTTGCCTGAGAACAATATTACTATTTCTGCTTGTTTGGGGGCTCCCATTGCATGGAATACTGTTTTAAATTCTTTAATTTTTAGTCTATGAAATCAACCAAAAAATGAGCAATGAAGTGAATAGACATTTCTCAGAAGTACAAGTGACCAATAAATACATGAATATTCTACATCTTTAGTTTATATGAGAAATGCAAATTAACAGAAAACTGAGATTCTATCTAGAAAGAATGGCTATACTCAAAAATCAAATAACAAACACCAGCAAGGCTATAGTGGAAAAGGAATTCTTTTACATTGTTGGTAGGAATGTAAACTAGCACAACCACTATAGAACTCACTATGGAGATGCACCAAAAACTAAAAATAGAAATTCCATTCAACTCAGCTATCCCCCCTCTAGATATCTTCCCCGCAGAGGTAAAGACATCATATTTAGGTATTACATGCACATCCATGTTAAAAGCATAACAACTGCTGTGTTTGAAGCAGCCTCTACATCAAACAACAGATGAAGAGATAAAGAAAATGCGGCATTTACACACAATGAGTATTATTCTGCCATAAAGATAAATGGAGTCATTTGTAGGAAAATGAATGAAATCTTGAGACAATGTTAAGTAAAATAAATGAGATACTCAAACTTAGATATTGGAGGATATGAGAAATAATGTGAAGAATAAAACAAAATGTAAGTAATTAGAAAGAGTTCTTTTTCAAAAGGGATGAGGTCAAGAGATTGAGGGAAAGGGTAGCAAAAACAACTAAGATGCGTTATATACACATACTAATTCTCTATGACGAACATTAACGTTACTACACTACAAATGTGTGCTAATAAAAATCAAAAGAAATTTTAAAACAGAAAAGGGTAAGGTAAGAGGAGGAGTACTGTGAGTTCAAGGCCAGCTGAACTGCAGTGAAATTCTGTCTCAAAAACAAAAAAAAAGAGAAAGAAAGAAAATAAGACATTGTTAATTATTTTGTCTTGATTGGTTCATATTTTATGTATGTGTTGAAATACCACATTGTATCTCATTGATATAAACAATTATTAAATATTAAGATAATTAATTAGAAGAAAAATACAAAGACGTAGAAATATAGCTCAGTGTGAAGACCCTGGGTTCAGTCCCCAATACACAAAAAATAAAAATAAAAAACCCAAATTGCTGAAGTATACTTGTGTACATGCCTCTGCCTAGGTGTCTGTCATTGTTTACTATCTCAAGGTGACAAAGCAGAGGAAAAGTGGGTGCCACATAGGGACAGAATACAGGTAAAACAGCATAGTTCTCGCAAAGTTTCCTTCTTTCAAAATACCAATATACACATTAAAACATTTGTTCCCTGAAGAACTAGTTTAGGGTTAAAAAAGAAGAAAACAGTAAGACTGGGACAATTTCAACTTACTCGTTCATCAATAATTTTCATAAGCCATCTTTTAGTCAGATTGTGTCTTCTGACAGCCTGAAAAGTAAGTGTTAGAAGCTTTTATAAAGTATTAGATATGACTTCTCCAGATCAGTAAAGACAAACCAAATACTAAACTAGGTAAGGGAACATTTGTAACAATTCATCACCAGATAGACAGTTGTACTAAGTACCAGAGAAAAAAGAAACAGCACTACAAAACATTTCAAAATATTCAAGATAATATTTCTCATTCTCTTCCTCTATCTTTGTGTGTGTGTGTGTGTGTGTGTGTGTGTGTGTGGCCAACTCAGCCCACCCTGGGGGTGGGGCTGGCACAGCATGTGGTGCCAGGTATCGAACCGCAATCCCCACAAACTTGCCTAAGCTTGTGTAAGCAAGCGATTTAGACTGCTAAGCTATCTTGCCGGCCCTCTTCTTGTCTTTTTTTCCCTGTATTATTGTTGGTCATTTAACAATTCCACATTCAAATAAAAACAAGAAATACTAAATTTTTCTACTGTACAATGTACCTTTTTTATAAAAAAATGTATCTAGTACAGGGTCTATATGGTCTCACTACATAGACTGGACTTGTAGTGATCCTTCTGTTTTCAGCCTCTCAACCACTAGGATTACAGGCATGCGCCAGCACACCCAATCTCAGTTGTATCTCAGCATACCCCAGGGACAGGGCCAGCACAACTCACTGGGGATTGACCCTGGTCCCTGCATCTGCCTAAGCTGGCACTTTAATCCACTGAGTTATCTGACTGGTCCTGTACCTTACATATTATATAAAACCTTTCTCCCACAAGATAGTCTATTTAGCAATCACTACTTTTCCGAAAATGAAAGAGTAATTAAAAGTCAAATGAAGGCTGGGAAGATAGCTTGGTGGTCTAAGTGCCTGCCTGGCAAGTGCAAGGACCCAAGTATATCCCCGATACTGCATGCTGTGCCAGCCCCGGAACCCTGGGAGCACCATGCCAGTCACCCTTATAGTAATAACAGGTATAGTTCCATGACAACAAAAATATGGCTTTGTTTCTGAAGGAAATCAGAGATCAAGATAAAGGAAGAAGGGCCAGCCAGATAGCTCAGTGGACTAAAGTGCCTGCTTAGGCAGACACAGGGACTGGGGTTCAACTCCCTGCATGCAGTGCCGGCCCCGCCCCTGGAGCATGCTGAGATGGCAATTAAGACTGGGTGACTACAAACAGGAGAATCACTATGAATCTGCTCTGTGTAGTGAGACCCCGTAGAACCTGTACTAAATACATTTAAAAAAAAAAAAGATAAAAGAAAATGCTTAAAAGAAGCCAAGTTATCTCCTGAATAAAGTATCAATTTTGGTAAATGAAGCCAATAAAAACAAAAATCTTGGCTATAAAACATAAACTCAAACAATTAATATTCATATACAAAGAAATTAAAAATCCTGGGCCAGGGTGATAGCTCTGCAGCTTAAGCACCTGCCTGGCAAGCTCAAGGTCCTAGTTCGATCCCTGGTACTTAAAAAAAAAAAAAAGAAAGAAACTGAAGATCTTATACAAGATAAAGAAATTACAAATATCCACATGGTGGAGCACACCTATAATCCTAGCACTCTAGGAGGCCGAGGAAGAAGGCTCACACTTGGGCAATTTAACAACTTAGTGAGACTAGGGGCAGGGCAAGGAGAGTATAAATACTCAACTATTTTGTACCCTGGAAATACCAGTGAAGCACTACAGCAAAAAAGTGCTCTCTAGACAACATAATGTCACCATCCGCTCTGTGACAAAATCTGACTTCAAAGACTCCACAGTGCCAGACAAAATGGTGAACACTTATACTATCAGCTATTTGGGAGGCTATAGCAGGAGGATCTCAGGTTCAAGGCCAACACGGGCAATTTGGCAAGATGCTGTTTCAGGATAACAAAATAAAAAGGGCTGCTCAGTGGTAGAACACCCCTGGATCTAAGCCCCAGTGCTGCTCAAAAAAAAGTAAACATCTTACTAAAACTGGACAAACTGGTAATCCTCAACTGACATGTATGCAAACATACTTTAAGTCAGATATATCCTCTGGTATTTAAAGAGAAGTCAAAGAAAGATAATTTTGCATTAAAGGCATCTCTGCTCTTCACCATATTCCTGACAAAGACCAGATTGATCTATCATCTGTCTGTTCATCCGTCCATCCGTCCGTCCATCCATCCATCCATCATCTCTCTTTCTTCTTTCAAGGTAAGACCAGAATCTCTCTCCCTCCCTCCCCCTCTCTCCCTCTCTCTTTCTGTCTTTCTTTCTCTTTCTGTCTGTCTGTCTTTCTTTCAAGGCAGGGTCTCACTATGTACAGCCTGCCTTGAACTCACTATGTAGCCAAGATTGGCCTCAAACTAAGGTAATCCTCCTGCCTCTGCCTCCCACATGCTGAGATGACAAGCGTGTGCCACCTCGCCTGGCTATGGCCATGCAAGTGTTAACACAATCTTCCGCTGCAGTCAGGCTTACATGCAAATAATAAACATGAAGGATTTCTGGAGTTTAGAAAAACTTTTCTCTCCTCTGAGTCACCTAGCTTGAGCCTCCTGAAGAGGAAAGGGAAGAGGTAAACAACAAATTTAATTCACAGCTTCCCATCCACTTTTTCTTCTCAGTCCCCAGGGTAGGGGCAAGGTACTGGCCTTCTATCTTTACTGAGGCTCTGTGGAGTCAACCTGGGGCCCCAGAACCAAGCCTGCCTCTGCTAGCACAAGCACTCCAGACAAGAGTACCACTGTCAGGTCTCTTGGCAGCTCCTGTTACAGAAACCCTCTTTTGGCACTTATCACATTACAACGGGGTCACAGATCAGTGACAAAAGACATTTCCCTTCCTCTGTTCACAGTTTAGTGGCAGTGATGGTGAACCTTTCAGGGCTTTCAATGAAAACAAATAGCCAGCTATGCTACAGTACCCACACTATAGGTTTGCCACCACTGGCTTAGCATATTTCTAAACTATGCACAATCATTTATGAATGAGAGATCAACATGCCTGCTTCGCTACAAAACCATTCACGGTATACGTTCAGCTACACAAATGATACTAAAGCCCAGTGGTGCGAACCTATGACACAACAGCAGGCTACTGATATCACTGAAGCCCTAAAAAGCTCACCATCACTGTTTTAGCCCACAGGTTCCCATTTTCTTAATATCCAAAATTCATCCATAAATGGGCAAGTTTACAAAATAGTTTTAGATCTGTATGTGGAATGTGCTGAGAGTAGGTCTCCTTTCACATACTGCTCCACAGTCATGAATGTGGACTTGAAGTCCAGAAACTGGTGTAAGGAGCTACTATGTAGAGAGAATAGAAAATTTACCTTTCATTGCATCAAAATTTGCCGGACACAAATTCTACAACTAAATGTAAAGAAATACATGCTAACCCGTAAGACACCAAGTCCCTTTTATTCCTTATTAAAGAAATACACCAGACTGAGGGAGGAAGATCACAAATCTGAGGCCAACATGGGCCATAAATTGAGTCATCCAAAAGTCGGCTCTCACAAGTTAAAAGTAGTAGTTTCTTTTTCTTTATTTTTACCTTCCACAGTTCAATGGCCACAGGCTGATGTGGTGGGTTGTCACAGTATATATCTTCTACGGCTTTTCTCCAAAACTGCATTCGCATCAGTCCGATTGTTTTCTCAGAAACTGAGTCCTTCACCTGTAAATATTTTACAACAACTATTTACAACTTTAAAAAATGCACCATGTATAGTCTCAAAAGCCCATATTTTTGAAGGGATTCTTTGAGGCAATAGGCTCCCACTGGCTTGAACTACTAGTGGCATATGCATCACTGTCCTATCAAGCAGCTTGTACCACACGATGGGACTGTCCCATGTGACCGGATGAGACAGTCATGCACATTACCACTAATGGTTCAGAGGTACCTGGCACCAAGAAACATGAAGTATGGCCCCATCATGAAGGTGTTAATTAATGGAATGGTACTCTATTATGATTACAGTGGAAGATATATGACCTTATGTTTTTTAGAACCTATAGAACTATACACCAGAGCAAATTTGGTTGTACATGTCTTACATGAGAAACCCAAAACATAAAAAGCAAAATAAAAGATAGCTAATAGGAAACAGTGAGATAGAACTTTTGTATATGGGAAGAGACAGAGAGAATGGGAGAGAGGAAAGGAAAAGAGAATTTTAAAAAGAATTAATATGTGTTATATGCATGTACCAATTCCTCAAGAGGAATGTGATCACTATGTACTACATACATGATGTAATTTTTTAAAAAAATGTATATATACACACAACACAGCCTATCTGGCAGGTGTGACAGCCTGAGTTTGATTACCAGTACAAAAAAAAAAAAAGCCTACAAAGCAAATAGGACAAAATACTGACAAAAAGGTGTATGAATATTATTTGTATTAGTCTTTTCTATGTGTAAAACTACTTTTAAATAAGTTTTCCGAGGGGCTAGGGCATAGCTTAATGATAGAGCCCCTGCCTTAATATGTATGAAGTCTTGAACTTGACAACCAGCTTTGTAAACAGTGTTCATTTGTTTAATGACCCCGGTAGAAGGTAGATTTCTTAGCAAAATTCTATGTTCCAGTCCCAGTGGCGTACACTACAGCAGTATAGCAGCAGAACAAGCCTTTTAAAAACATGGCCAGAGGTGAAGTCTATCATTGCTCAGACCCTCCAGGGGCTTCCCTTCTAGAGGAAAGGCCAAAAGCAGCTCAGTGGTCTCCAAGGCCTAATAACCAATCAGATCCAATGTCATCTCTTCCCAAGCTCCCTTCACTCCCCCACTGGCCCACACAGCCTTCTCCTGTTCTCTGAGTGTACCACGAGAGTGCGCCTCAAGACCCTTGGGCTTCCTCTCTCCCTTCCACCTAGAAGACTCTGCCCAAATATCTGTGGCTCGCTCTGCACCTCCTTCACACCTCTGCTCCAGGGCCTCCCTCTTGGTGAGGCTTCTCCGGACCAGCCTGTATAAAAAAGAAACCACTCTGTCCTCAGCCTTCCCTAGCCCTTTATCCTACTACAGTGTTCTCCACAGCAGGTACCTCATCTGGTACACTATGCAGTTATTTATTTGTTCACAAAGCGCGGGGTGTTTGCATGTATTTAATGCTACATCTGTGGGCTTCCAACAGTAGTTAGTATACTTTAGACACTAATTGTTGGATAAACAGATGAATATGACTATATATGCAAAGAGGAGACAAGATGCTCCTAAAAAGTGATAGACAATTCTGGGAGAACCTTAAGGGTTTACTTCATTAAAATGAAACTTAATTAGGTGTGGTGGCAGGTGCTTATCACCCCAGTATCTGAAACCTGAAACAGGGGGGTCACAAATTTGAGGACAGCTTGTACAATTTAGCAAAACCTTGTTTAAATAAATAAAAATCACATATCTCATCTGAACATCATTGGGCATGATAGCATAAGCCTGTAATTTCAGCACTCAGGAAGCTGAGGGAAGAGGATTTCAAGTTCAAGGCTGGCTTGCACTGTGTCTCATAAAAAATTTAATCATTTAAAAATTATACCGGGAGACCACAGTGGGGACTTTTATGGCTAACTTGTGGCTGACTCAAGGCTGGGGATGGCTCAGATATAGCTCAGTCGTAGCCTACAGAGCATGTGTGAGGTCCTGGATTCAGCCTCCAGTACCTCAAGAAATAAAGTAAAAACTGTGTCTGGCTGAACATGCTGATGCATAATTTATACCTAAGAAAGGATAAGGTGAAAAACGCTGACTCACAATTGACAGGAATACACCAGAGGGAAAAACAGCTAGTAGATACTGCAGATTCATGGTTGGGATCTCAGTTGGAGCTCAGTGCCATAAGTTTATCTTTTATCTACTCCTTCTTCATTTCCTATCACATTCAACACAGAACCTGAACCAAATCGGCCGCTCTCTTTAAAACCCTACATCCCTCCCAGCCCCTGCACTCCCAGTATCTGACCTCTCCATTCAATTTACAAGACGAAGGCCATTCTACCTAAACTCCTTCACTTCTATCTCCCATTTTAATTTGTTTTATAGCCATATACATTTATTACATTTCAATAAAAAAAGATCTCTCTCTTGTATCTTACATAAAACTGAGTATACGCTAAGATCTGGGTTTGCTAGAATTGCTTCCATTCCCCACTTCACATTAAAGATAAAACTTCAATTTAAAAATTGCTATACACACGTACATTATACACTTATTTAAGGAAATATAGTTCTACTATGAATAACCTGTTCAATTCACAGATAAACGTGTACTCTGAACTTTGAGGTATTTAATATCCTCAGAAAAAGAAATTACAACTCCAGAATGGCAATTTCCAGAAACATTAACGTCACCAGCTAGTTTAATTGTGATATAGAATTAGGCTTAAATAGCAGGAAAAAGTCCTAGTAAAAAACTTCTAGTAGAAACCTTAAACATGTCTCTCGTATAAGTTACAACTACCAGAATTTCTCTGTTCTTCGGCATCAAATACATTATATCATCTTCTCACAAGTAACAACTTAAGGAATCTTATACCAGCCTGGGCCAGTTCCACATTGAAGGCCCTCAGTGCAAAAGCAGAGCTTCGGGATTCTGCAGGGAGCAGCAGGGAGCATAAATAACTTTCATAATCACGTTTCCTACAACAAATACGAGAGAGAAAAAGGTAGTTATTGTTTACTTCCCACACTGCACACAAAAATACTGAACCAAAATTAATTAGGAACAAGGAGTTTTTTTTTTACTACAGAATAATAGACCTGACATTTCTTATCTTTTTATGACTATTTTTCCACAACTATGAAAAATGTATCTTCTCCCATCTTAGGCCAGTTAAAAAAGAAATCTCAGTTTGTACTTACATAGTTTTGTTTTGTTGGGGTTTTTGTTTTGTTTTGTTTTGCAGTACCCAGGATTGAACTCAGGACCCTGCGCTTGCCAGGCAAGAACTTATTCTACTGAGCTTTCTCCCAAGTACTATTTACATAGTACTTAAAGTTTTGTTTTATTCCCTTTACTTTTAAGAAGAATTCAGATAAGCTACAAAAGAAATCAATGAAGTAAGCAAGTATTGGTGTGAACTCAGTTTTTAAAATACAGATATACAGAATGACACAGAAACTGATGCAGGCGGCCTGTGTACACATTTCCCAGCAGCATTTGCTGTAAAACCCTGGAAGCAATACTCGCCCCCATAGTCCCAGCACAGGAAATGCACGGGGCTCCTGGATCCTGGTTCCTAACACTATTCTCTATGAAAAAAAAAACAAAAAACTAGAACTCCTTGGAAAATGACTGATTCCAGAGGTGAGTCATGGAAAACACAAGGCAAGCCTGAAAGACCTTCTTGAGCAGGATAAAATGAAAAGAAAAGAAACACTCAAGAAATGGAGGAACCGTTAAAAGTCTACACAAGCTGGGCCGATGGAGCCTGCAGCAATTCGAAAACCGAACTAATAAATCCGGCAGTGGAGTAGGCCTGTCGTCTCCACTACTCAGGAGGCTGAGATAGGAAGCTCAGCGGTTGGAGGTCAGCCTGGACAACAAAGCAACACTGTCCTAAAACAAATACTAAGGAACTAGAGGTGTAGCTCAATGGCAGAGTACTTTCCTAGCATACATGATTTTTTTTTTGTTCCTCGCATGCCTTCAGGGCACGTTTGGCCAGCGGGAGAGTTGTGAGGTTCGAACTCCAGCCACCTGAGGCTGACAGCTTTGTGGAAGCAGCCACTTAAAGGACTGAGCTAGGCCCAGGCCCCCCTTAGCATACATGAGACCCTGGATTTGAGCACCAGCGTGCTCTGTCTTTCAGGAAATACATATTACCTTTCCAATCGAAATCTAAGGCAGTTCTGTCATTCCAGTGCTTTGCAGAAACCCGTGAGACCAGGTACGTAAAAACCTGATACTGTACACTTCTGCAAATGAAGGCCAGGGGGCACCTTGGCCACCAGTCTCTCCAGCAGTCGGGCCTGGGCTGCAGGGCAGGCACCGCCACCTCCGCGGATACTTGTGATCCGACTCCCAAATGCCCAGACTGACACAAAACTGAGGACCGCAGAGACACGAAACGCCTCCAGTCTCTTACTGTATTAATTTACTCGAGTGACCCTCAGGCTAATTTCCTTTTCTGGACCCCGTTTTCTTGTTTATTACGGCAGGTAATAGTGACTTATTTTGTGCTCACTGTTCCTCAACTATGCGGCAGGCACTGCTGTAATTTGTAACAGACTGCCTGTAAACTCCTTCTAACAACGCAGGACGGATTAGAAGGACGCAAAGGTAGCTACTGTGGCCCTTAAAAATAATAACCACGTGTCTCGTGGGTAAAGAGAAGCGCGCACGCAGAACCGCCCACGTGAACGACGTCGGGCGGAGGGCTGCCGGCGCCTCGCTCCCCGCGCCCGAGGTCCCCGGGCCGCCCCTCCCGGCCGCGCGCGGGTCCC